AATTTGGTGATGTGGAGGAAATTGGCTGAAGTCCTTTGAGCCTCAATTTCTACATATATAAAACATTAAAATATACTTCTCTTCAAAGATATTGTAAAGATTAAATCTATACCAACTTCCTAAGATAGAGCAGATGCCACAGCAGATATTCAAAAATTGGTAGATACAGTTATATTTTGATCAATTTTATTTCATTTTCATGATTCAACAACTCTTAAGTGTAACTAACTCATTCTACATAAGTTGGAGGATGGGGAGTTTTCCATTTATAATCAAAGCTGCTTTCTGGAGAAGGTTAATCTGGATAAACACAGGGTACTTCTGTCTGAACATCCTAGTAGTTTTGTTTTTAAATTTGGGGGTAATAGTTAAGGAGAGCTGAACTGGAAATTTTGTGAATACTCCTAAGAAGGGAAAAAAGAAATGAGAGAGGAAATGTTGGAAGAGGACATCAAGAGGCAAAAATAGAATATGACCAGAAACTTCTGAGGCTGTAGAAGGAGGTTTTGAGATGGAAGGTGCCAACTAAGGTAGCCTGAAGCATTTGCACCACTGCATCAAAATATCTTTCCTCCATTTTTCCTCCAAATCTTCAGGAAAATTCCCTAAAGCTATAACTGTTTTGGATGAGTAGATTTTGTGTTGATATAAAAGAACACAAAGAGTCTAAATGCACATGACAGAAAAAGCATTCAAAAAGCAGAAGTGAGGAACCAAAGGAGACCCCTAGGTATTAAGCAGAGCTAAAAAAAATCAGGCAACACCAACATCGTCAAGGACAATGAGCTGACACTCTTCCACACTGGGAAATGATACAGCCATTTTAGAAATTTTACCCAGTAAAACTTAGTATGTACATATCTAGTTATAAAGCAGCTATTTGAGTTCCAAGCATATGCTCTAAAGAAACTTGAGTTCATTTGTGCAGGACTCATGCACAAGAGTGTTCAAGGCATTTTCACAAGAGAAAATTGAAAACAGAAAAAAAAATGCCATCTGCATCAGCACGAATAAATCTCAAAACCATCATTTTGAACACAGGAGCTTATAAGTCATTGGCTATCCTATTTCTTATGGTGGAGGATGGATATGTATGGGTATTTGCAATTTGGTCGTCAAATTGTACATTCTGCATATATAAAATATTTCAAAATTTAAAAATGAAAGCTTTTTTAAATGAGTTGTCACTGTGGCATTAGAAGGAGATTATCAAACCACTCGTGCCAGGGCCTTAGGTTTAACACTCACACAGGGATAGGCAATCAGGACCTTAGCCCACATAGGATGAGAAGATGAAATTATGCAAATGGACATGTCAGCTTCTTTCCTAGAACATTCAAGGCTCTGGGTTTGATTTCGAGCATCATAAAATCAACAACAAAAATAATGTCAGCTTGAATGATACAAATTAGAAGTATTACTGCCCTGTAATCAAGAGTTAAACAATAGGGATTCTTTTTAAGCCCACATAAAACATTTATAAAAATTGACTACAATATGAATATAACCATAAATCCTGCCATTATGTGTAACTATAATTCACCAATATGAATATGAAAAGGAAAAAAAACCTAAATTGTTTTACAAAGGAAAAACATTGCCCATATAATGGACCATAACTAAATCTGCAGCAAATACTAAAAAGTTAGTTTCACATTTAAAAAAAAA